ATAATAATAATCAATCTGGCTTGCACCCAGATGCCACATATTGATGCATACAATAACTTCAAATTTAATTCTCTTTGGCTGCAATGGTGCATCTTACCATTATTAAGTGAGGAGAAAAGCAATCTTTATCAATTGTGGAAACAGTATGTCTTGCCTAACAATTACTAAAATTTAAATCAGCTGGTAAAATTCAAGTGGCATAAGTAAAGTGACAGTATAAGTAGAACCATATTCCCTAGTTACACAATAGAAGTGTCATATGGTAAAATTTAAATGATTGCTGTTTATTTTGGTAAGCTTTAGAGACCAACATTTAATGGTGCAGCCTGTTTGTATAAATATTTAAACCATTCTTCAGTCCACTCGTTTACATAGAGATGATATAGAGGCCACCAAATTGAATAATACCTGGGCCATTCTAACCAATGAATCATAAACGGCAGAGTCCCCATGTGGATGGAACTTACCAAGAACCTGAGTTAAACAAAAAAAAGAAAATTAAAAAACTAAAAGAAAATTGAGTAAGGAAATGATCGCATAGTGAAGGTAAAGTTTTATACTTTAACACTAATGGAATCATGGAGGCAGTTTTTTGTGTAACGAGAGGAAATACTCAATATTAATCGAATACCTCACCAACTACTCTTGCACATTTCTTGTAAGGTTTCCTTGACGAAAGGCCTAACTCATTCATTGCATATCTGTGTTAAAATGGAAAAGCAAAATGTTATTCCAGTCAGAAGGCTGGTCTAATAAACCAAACATCGACAGCAAAGCTTATCTTTACAATACAAACAGGAGAACAGCAATCAAGTCATTATGCAATGCTGCAAAGATGTCTAATTGCTTAATATTTTTATTACTTAAAAACCCTCTTATTGGAAACTTTTTTTTTCTAATAACCGCAAGATGTATGGGGTTCTGCCGAAACTTGATGTTGCTTTCCAAGGGAAAAAATGAAAAGAAAGAAAGAAACAATGAGACACTAGAATAATCTTCTTAGTTACAATGGTTGCCACGTAAAGACCACTAAGGATGAAAGGAAGATTTCAAAAGAACTGACAGTATCCGGCGGTGGACGGGCTTGAGCCCATCTCTGATATCAGGCAACGCCCGGCCCAAAAGCACGGACATTGCGTAGGACATGTAAGACTGCGTTGCCTCCTTGTGAAGCTCTGTGAGTACTATCCTGTGGTCACCATTTCCGCCTACCACACTCCCATTCTCAGAAGCTTTCACGGAAAAGAGCCTCCTGCGGCTGCGGTGATTGGTGACGGAGAAGGGGTGCTGCAGACGAGGATGACCGCGGAGCATACTAAGTAAGGCTGCTAGTGCCATGTGCTTTTTCTCGAGTTCCGCTCTGGATGCTGTAGGTGCTCATGCCATGGAGGAGAATGTGAAAGGGTTTGGGGAATGATCTATAATAAATTTGTAAAACCCTAGTGGGAGATGAAGGGTATTATTTGATTTTGAGGTGTGTTCTTGCGCGCCAAGTCCTTGTTCGTGCGCCTACATCATATGTTTTTTTTTAAAAAAAAAAAAAAAAAAAAAAAAAAA